AAGAAAAGATTGGAAACCATAAATCAACGATAACAATTAATCATTTGTCATTCAAATTTATAATATTTCCGTTGAAACTTTAGGTTTTTTATTTTTTAATTAAAAAGAAAATTAATTGAATTTTTTTGAATTAATGATAAAGTAGAATTTGAAAAAAGATTTTAAAAACTCCCCTTTTTTTCCCCTCAAAAATAGGAATAACATACTGAATTAGCTGTCGTAGCTGCTTCAAATAGCAAATTTGTTTTCACTTTAGCACCCTCAATTTCATAATCTACAACTGCATGTTGACAAGCAAGCAAACGATCTGGTACCCGTTTCGAAACCCAATATTCCAATAATTCAGAATTTGTTGGAGTATATGAACCTTGCTAGAAAATGAAATTATTTAAATTGAAATATCTCAGGTATAAAAAAAGTATATGATCGTTTAGCTCTTATGCATTTGCTTTCTTTAATACTTTAATGAAAATTTATGATAATTAAATATAAAATTTAATTCCAGTTAATCTGTTCAATAAACAAACAATTAATTATTGATAAATACATATTTTATGTAAAAATTAACTTAATAATTAATTTTACATAAATGATTGTAATAAATTATGTATAATGATTTATCAATAAATATTTTCTACAATTAATAATTGATATAGATATACATATAAATGGTCGATAATTTAAAAATTAGACGAATTGAAATTAATACAAAGATTTTTGCAAATTCATATGAAATTTTTAAAACATATTTCATTTTATTCGTCATCTTATCAATTGTTATCATTATGTTATCATTAAAAGTATAATTAGGCATATTTTTAAATTTCATTCTTCTCAATGGAATATGATCAGTGAAATGTTTGTGATCATAATGAATAATCAGAATGATAAAAATAGTGATATAATAAATTTAATAATATAAAATATTATAAGTATGTAAAGAATGAAAATTATGCTTACATCAATGCTATTAGCAGCAAGCCATTCAGCTATCATTGCTAATTTAAATGCTTTACCAAGTAATGGATTATCTAATTGAGCAAAAAATTCTTTTTCCATCTAAAAATTAATTATCATAATTATCATGATAATTAATCCAATTCATATTTAAAATACATATGATAATGCTACAATCTAAGACAAATAATTTTTCTTTTTTTTTTTACATATTCTCTTCCAGTAGTAAATATTTGAAATTTAAGAATTATTTGAAATCTAAAAATTAAAAACTTATTTAAATAGAATTTAAATAAATTACAAAAAAAATCACTTTTTAAACTTTTTTTTTTTAAATTCAACTATAGATTATTATATTATCAGATGAATGTTAACACTGATAAATGTAATAAATTTAATACTGATTAATCGATAAGCTGTTGCGGGGGAAAAAAAAAAACCACTGATAAACTTATCTCAGCTCTTGTTTCGCCTCTTTCATAAAATTTCATCCAAACATCAACAGCACCTTGTTTTTGCCAATAATCTTTTTGCCATACTGATTTCGAGAATGCGGAACAAAGCGTAAATAATGGATCCTCTGGTGGTGGACATAATTTAACAGTTAATCGATATGTTCGCTCATCAGTTGCTCGACATAAATTACCATCAGTATTTTCTAGAAGTTTTAATTTCCTAAAAAAAATTTTTTTTTCATTAATTAAAAAAAAAGTGAGAAAAATTTTTAACTAAATAAAATTATTAATTTTAAAATGTAAGAAATAATTCAAAAATTTCGAATATATAATTTCATATTCCTTACAAAATCAATAATAATCATATCATTTTTTTTCAAAAATGATAAAATGATAATTGCACTGTAAATGATAGTAATGAAAAAAAATTAAGTATTAAAGTGTATAAGAATTAAATATTAACAATCAAAAAATTAAAGATAAGTTTTTTTTTAATCTACTAAAAATATACTAATTTTAAATCATCGTATCATTTTTTTCCTAGTTATTAATTACTTACTAATATTTTGCTAGCCTTATATTTTAATTTCGTATTTTGATAATTTTGATAATATATGATAACCTTGTATTTTCACATCAATCAAAATATAAACCTATTAATCACCTATCAATATTTTGCTAGCCATATATTTTAATCATGTATTTTGATAACCTTGATAAGATATGATAACCTTGTATTTTTACACCAATCAAAATATAAAGTTATTAATCATTTATCAATGTTTTGCTAGCCATATATTTAATCATGTA